CGTTGAATTCTAATATTCGGACTAAAGTAATGCTGACTATAACTAATTTGGTCCGGAGGCACAGTGGTCCCAAAAGAAGAGAGTATTCTCAAATTGGATTGGCTGATTTCTAACAAAAGGCAATAATCACTTTAAATCTACGGGGGACATTGCTCAACAATTGCGAGACAAGGCGGGGGAGGGTATAATCGAAAGCAACCAATAGGACGTCAGCCGCTCTCGCAGAGATAACGTGCTCTACTTAATCTATACTCTAGCATATCAAGTATAATAAATATAATTTTATTCATAAAAATTCATTCTAGAGATGCTATCATATACGCTATCTACAAATGGGGATTCATACAGCATYTTAAAACACGACCTGCCTTTAAACGTTAATGGCTTCTTCAAGATATTAAAGTTTCAAATTAAAAGATCAATGGCCAACCAAAGCGGAAAGCTAATCTGTTTATACAACCGAGGAACATCCAGTCACAATRTCATATCGACCACTTTATCTAWTGACCATATCAACTTCCCATTGGACTGCTTTCATGAGGATGTCAATGCCAATAAAAAGAACATTTACATGTTTACGCAGCAATCTGCTGACAGATACGAGATCCATCAGGACATTACGTCTAACAGCAGTTGCTGTAACTGGAAACTTGAAAATATAGCAGTGCACAACTCTACTAAACTTGAAACAAATGGTAGGTAACATGYWWTTCAACAATATTCCATTTAGTACATCATTCAACGCTATTTGAATAGCTGTATATGCATGTTGTCTTGTCATGATCTTGAAATGATTRCTTGACACATCAAATTTACAAAAAGCTGTTCCACCATGCACAATTGCAATTTCTCTAGATTTCTTATTGGTCTAGAGCCGTGTTCGATATAAGTACATACCACGTTCGCATTTTTTTAATGAGATTGTTATCTGTTGTATATGTTTTCTTTTTTTGTAAAAACTAATCTATAATAGTTTCTCGTGTATATTAATTGGAATATTAATTTCAGAGTAACTGCAACGAAYGTAAATTTAGCTGATATGGTGTGAYATGACTATTATGGTATAATGTAAAGAATCATAAGTATATATTCTGTTGTCAAATGTATYCTAGATTCATCGGCATGTGATCAAGGTTGGTATCGAGTAGGTAATTCATGCTTACTAATAATCATTAATGATCGCATCAATGGATGGCATCAACATGGAAAACGCTGCATGGAAGTCAATAGCAGATTGGTATCTTTCCAAAGGCCAAACGACCTAGAATCAATTTCAGGTCTCCTACAGAAACTAAATCTCCCGAAGTACAAATTCTTCTCAGGGTATTCAGTACAAGTAACATGGCGATGGCTTGATGGGGAGGTCCCTTTTTCTGATTTCTGGGGATGGCATACCGTACCCTCATACCGATATGGAAACTGTGCATATTTATTCCGTGGTTTTTCCAGAGGTTTTTTGCATTCTTTTCGTTGCAAATACAAGATGAACTTCGTCTGTGAAGACACAGTTGGTAAGCTAGCTTCACTAATTCTAACCTCTACATCATGTTAGGCGACGTCCCCATGACAATTTTACTGATCAATAATATTCAGCACTTTTATTATGTACCTAAAATGTAAGTTTAAAGCTGTTAGAGTTGTAATTTCACATTTCGATGCTAACAGCCGGGCTCGTTAGAACGTAACAAAACACTGGGAATTTCTGCAGAACTTTTACTGACAGATCTAGCAGCTTGCGTTAGTGAAGATTGTACGAATTAGACGAACTAAGCTGATCATCATCGTAATACATTATGAGTAATTCTAATAGGTGTGAGATGCGCTGTATTTAAGAAATATCGTATGCCCTCCTAACAGGTCAGCCACGCCCAATGGCCGTCTATCCAATGAGCGCAGAAAGTGGTGTTAAAGAGGCAATTTCCGACCGCAACAGTTCTCTTCTTGATGGAAAAATGACATCCATGGTATTTCAGCGTGGTCCGTTCGACGATAAAGAAGGTTCCATTTTCTTCAATGGCTCTTCAGGAAGTTTTGTTAGCATTCTTAATCGAGGATGCCTGAACACACAATTTTCTTTTACCATAAGCTTGTGGATCTTTCAAGAAGAAACCACCTCTGGAACAATAATTTGCTACAAGGACGGCTTACAAATGTCACTTTCCCACAGACATCTCATAGCGAAATTTGTATTTAAGAGATACAAATCAGAAACGCTAAAAATATTTGGACTTCAAAATGGTATCTGGCATTCCGTAGGTTTTTCATATGATTATATGACAGGAAAAGCAAAAGTGTGGATTGGTAACACCACAGTCTCACGGAGCGTAGGAGAGCAAAAAGAACTTGCAACAACCAAGGGATTGCGCATCGGTGCATCGTTTACCAATGATACTAAGGGATATTTTACTGGTAGAATATCTGATTTAAGAATCTATGATTATGCTTTGTCACACAGTCAAATTATAAATTCAAGGAAAGTCAAAGCGAAAAAAGGTGAGCTCGTAGCGTAAATCTATCATATATTATTAGTTTATTTAAAGTTTATGCGGTACGTTAAGAGAGAGTTTTTTTGACATCGATCGACTAAACAATGATGTGCAGTCAATCTAATTGATGTTGTTAAAATGTTAAAACTTTAAAGTGCACATGACACCTTTAGAAAAACACTTTTATCCGAAAGGTAGCATGCTGACAAGCATTTCTGTAAAGGAAGAAATTGATTTTGAATAGTATATTCTGAGTTATAGACATTTGAAAATTGAAAATGCAAATGAAGTGACGTCAACTAAGGAATTAGTCCAGACTTTTTACATTGTTTGCGCTATGCTGTTCTTGGTTGAAGAGCTCAATCATTAACCATAGTAATAATTGAGAGCTGAAAATGCTTTTTCCAGTGTAACAAAAAGAATAACGTCCTCTTTCATGATTTTGTATATTAAATCATTCCTTAGTAGACGTCACTTCATTTGCATTTTCTAAGTTTCAATTGCCCATAACTTAGAAAATACAATTTAAAATCAATTTGTTTCTTCACAGAAGTACTTAGCAGCATTTTCTCTTTTGGATGAGAATGAATTTCTAATGGTGTCATGTGCACTTTAAGAGCGTTTCCATGCATTATGTCAGCTCAGGGTAAAGCCAATTATCACGAAGACGTGTGATAACTGGCCTTGAGAAGGGATACAGTATCCATTAAAGAACTATTGATGATAAGATATTGATCATATTTCTAGGAATGTTTGCATGCCGTGACGGCTTTATTGGAGTGCATGGCAAGTGTTTTTACGTATCTCGTCACGTAGCTATTTATGAAAATTCCTCAAAATACTGCAAATCCATTGGTGCAGCTCTGGCCAAGGTAGACAGGGAATATGTAAGAAATGGTCTCAATCGATATCTTCGATATAGAKWTYWTTGGATTGGACTTAAAAAATACTATGAATGGTATGGTTCMGATGGGACTGCTCTTCAAGTGAAGACATGGAAAACAACTYACCCTTATGTCGCAATTCGTTCAGGCAAGTCTATCTTGGAAAACGTCAATGGATATTCCAAATATACTGGAGCTGTGTGCCAGAAATATGGATGTAAGTTTTCACATGCGGTTTAATCTAATCAGTATTGGATGTTATTCAAGAAAATCAACTGTCAGCGTTAAAGTGTTATGGTCCACCAGCATCCAATGGGTTGAAATTTATATATAAATTGGGGTGTCTTCAAATACATTCACAATTCGTTTCCATCTGTAGGTTTTGAATTCGAACAATGCCTCCATTACAGAGCATAAAGAGATAATTAAATAAGAGTGCGTTTTCTGCTTACATGTATATTACGGTGCATATTTAATTTCAAATATCAAAGAAAAAGCTCGAAGGGATGCCGATGTCCATGGACCTTTTTAAAAGTGGATTAAAACAATGAACTAATGAGTCGGCTCTTATGTGGCTTAGTTTCCACTTCACTAGGTTTTCTTTGTTATTCATAGGGTTGTATATACCATAGAAACTTAAAGCCGGGGAGGGATTTGATATTCAGCAGGGAAATGTGGGGTTGATGAATTGAATTGAATAGCTCGTTATAAATTCAGCGGGCTATATATGAGTGACCGGAATCACTCANTCTAGTGAAAATACCAATGCGAACCAAGCAGAAATGATTATAATCGTATGTATTGATACTGTTTTAAGAATGATCATTAATTCAAAAATTGGCGAAGATGGATATTTTGGCTTTTCAAGATTGTAAGCATTGTTTACATGGTCATTATGTTTTGGTCAAAACTCGTAAATTTTGAAATATTCGAGCATGAAATCAGATGTAGTTACATGTTATACCCATTACAAAAGGCCATACGTAATATATCAGCGATCGGACAATTGTTTTGCTATTTAGGAAGAATCATATCCATGATAAATATGCTAATGTGGTTACTATCATTAATAATTATATATCTGACTTATGTGAGAAAATACCACACTTATTTCATTTGATTTGATGTCCTTTGTTTCTTTGCTTCTGATATATCAAATTTGAATTTCTTAAAAAATTGGCTAAGGTTGGTAAATTTGCAATATTCTACCATATGATGCTCTGTTTTGCCTGTCATAAATATGAAATAAAAYTCATATCCACTTGTTAAAGCTTGTTTTTAGCTACAGACAGGGGCTAATTCAGCTGATGGGCACAGGGAGTTTGCAATAATCCCCTCACCCCCTCGAGATTTAGTATGCTTCCTTTTATTTGTGTCTCCTTTGTCATGGTTTCTTGGAGAGCTGCCTGGCTGAGTGCCCTGCACCCCTCCCTGGAAATAATGTAATCTTCACACAGTGCTTTATTGCATGTAACATTGAGTACAACAAATCTGCAACATTTCTTTTGATTTCATGTATTGTCATCTTATCTTGTAAAACAGGTGGGGAAGTGGCCCGGGGGAAGGGGGCAATAGCTTCCCTATATATTGCTCAGAAAACAATTTTGAAATAGTATTAACGTTTTTTTGATGGAATCCGCTAATTTTTCAAATGCTATCCGAACTCGACTGCTACTCAGTCCCTGGTTATTATACTTTATGTTTTATCAARCGCCACAAATACGCGCGTCTGCCCCTAGACGTTTGATTGTTACAAACTAGGTCTTTTAGCTATGTTATTGCAGATCGATAATTTCTTTTTAATTTTTTTTTTTTGTATTGCCGTTGTTGCATACTTTATTACATTTTCAATTTCTTTATTACGCTCGCAAATAACGATGGAACCGAAAATATAGAGAAATAAAGAAATGCACGATAGCTGTTCACCGTCGTGTAACAAATGAATGAGCGGGTAGCCTGTTGTGAGCCTGCAAGTAACAATGCAACAATACAGCTGCTCGCGCATGGTTATGCAAAATGGCCCCTTGTTACATCGCACATAAGTTGTGCTATTAAAAATCTATATTGTGACGTAAATCGTAATATTTTCGTATCAAGAAAAATGGTGTGGCACTTTTTGTTGATTCAGTAACGAAAACTATCGATCTGATGGCACGCTTTTGCAGAATCAGTTTGCTGGTGAGACTTTTACAGCACTGAACCCAAATGGATAATCTATGCATATCAAGATAGATTTCAAAAGACATTTATACATTTTAATAAGTATTTCCGGTACAAGTATCGTAATCTTCTTAATAGTTCCAATTATTCTACATACTTTTTAGCGGGCTAGCTGTGCTAGCCAGCTATAGTTTTACCTTTCGCACTCTGTCGGGTCGCAGTTTCCAGTCTCTCTCGAACAACAGGAAGCCATATCTATTAGTTTGCAGTCTCTCTCGAACTGAAAATTTTCTCAAGAATCCAAAATGGCGGGTACTACTTCGCTGATAACAGAGAAAAAAAGTACTCAAAAACTATCAACAAGAAATACCAAAAGCTTTCTCATTGAAGAATTGAACTAGGATTTTGCATTTGTGAAGTTTCAAGCTTGCTAGTTATCATTTTAAGACGATTTTGCATCGAAAATAGTCTCGCCTTCCTCACCAGTCCAGCTCGATGATTATTCAGTACAGCTTCAA